ATATATAGCACAGAAAACTATTTAGTATCCTGTGATAAACGATAATGGAAACATAAAAAGTCTACATGTGTATAACTGAGTCACTTTGCTGTACGGCAGAGATGAGCACAACATCGTACATCAACTATACGTCAATTAAAAAAATAGACAAAACCTAAGAATTCTGTGGTGTTTTTTTTTTTTCCAATCACCCATTCCTGTCGTCCTTCGACTTTGCAGGTACCATGACAGTGACATTAAGGTAAAAGTAAAGAATTGTTCCCTTTGGTTTCATTTGCTTGATTTTAGATTGCCTGGATGATTTGAGAATAGCACACTGAGGTTTCTCAAATTCAGGTCAGAGGCCAAAATAATGACTTCTGATGGCCTTACCCCCCCTGCATTTGTGTTCTTCTGTGAAGTTTTGTTTTGTTAAGTTTTAATGTTACATTTAAAACTTCTTACTGGTAACGTTTAGCCAGCAGTGAATAGGGAGAAAAATGAGAGTGGTTTACAATTAAAAAATTATTTGCTTACGGTAGATTTTAAAGATGCTGTTGTGAGACTTGCCTTGGATGACGTGTAAGTAGGAGATTTTCCTTGCTTGAGGTCTTACTGTTCTGGACTAATACTAATTAGTCTAAACAAAGTGAATCATCTTTATTCAATTAGTTAACAGCAACAACAGAAATTTGAGTACTTTGCAAAAGGCACAGTGTTAGGCATTTATTGTCCCTGGAGTACCAGCTTCCTGAGGTCAGGTACTTGTCTCCCTGGTTCTCTTCCAAGCCTCTAGATTCATGCTGGCACATAGAAGGGACTCAGTAAGTGTGTGTAGGAAGGATGGTTGGATGAATAGGTAGATGGGATACAAAGACAGAATTGGACAGAGTACTGGACTTAATAGAAGTTAGCTGTCTAGTAAATATGGCCTCAAGTAGCCACAAATCCATAGCTTATGATCTTGACAGCAGTTTTACTTTGGGGTTGTTACGGGAGTTATGTCGAAATCTGAGAAAATCCCGAAAGGAAATGAAACATTTCCCTAAGTTGTGTCAATTCTGCAAGTCACCGAGTTTGGAAATCTTTATCCTCTGTCTCCATTCTACTCACCAGCACTTGTGGAGCTTTCCTTTGAATTGCTGGGTGAATTGTCCCTTCCCTGCCATTCCATCTTGGCATTTCCCTCATCCAGACCGCCATCCCCTTCTGCCTAAATTGCACTAGCCTTCTGGTCTACCTCTCTGACGGCGGCCTCTCCTCAGTGTAAGCCGGCCTGGATATTGTTGCCAGATTTTGCCTTTAAAGAATGTATGTCAAAGGAAACTATTTCTGATTGAAATTTGAGCCTCTGTGCATCTTTATATTCATGGAAAGAAACTAGCTGAGAAAGCTTTGAGAAGGGAAATCACCCTTTCAGACCATAGTAGCATTTTCACATCTACAGGCAAGTCTAGTTACAAAGCTCTGTAGACTCGATTCAACTCACTGACACCCTAGAAATATCATCTCTAGTCCTGACTGCAAACCTCTCTGTGGCCTGTGAATACTCAAACACCGATGTTTTTTTCAGACAAAACAAACATTTTTATGGTCACTTTGACATCTTTTGGAAACGCTAAGAAAAGCTGCTTCTTGGAATTCACTGCTTTTTCAATTCTATATTCGGTTGATAAGAACACCCTCCCTGTGAACTCTAACAAGTTTCAACTACATTTGTCAGCAGAAAAACATGGATTAACTGCAACCCCCCCATATTGTCATAATTTAATAATGTGTATCACTTTCTTTTGGAGATAAAAATATTTTTACAGTGTCAGAAGGGACTAAAACTTTTTGGTAAAATCTTAAGACAGATATCTAACCTGTTTAGTAATGTGGCATTTATTTGATAAGTTCCATTTTATTAGATAAGTTCCATCTTGAAAATATGGGTAAAAATGATGGATTTATTTTTAAAAACATTTCAAGTCTACCCTAACCTCAGAAGCATAGTACTTAGCATTTCCTTTCTTTAACTGACTTTTCAAAGGAGAAACACTCCTTTATAGTCCTTCCAAAAGTGGGCTTGAGCTGCAAGGTGTTTTAGTGACAGAATTCCCGTTCAAGTTAAAATTCTCTCCATCTGCTCGAACAACGTCAGTCTTTGCTGCTAAACTCTTGAAGGCAGGTAGCAGTTAAGATTTCTTTTGCCTTTTTTTTTTAATCTCAAAATAAATGTTTAATATCCCTCTCATTTTGTCTCTCGCTTAAAAAGCTGAGTGGTTTTCTTAGTTCTGTTTCATAAACACGTACTGAATGCTTCTCCAGCATACTCAGAGGAACTGTCTTTCTGGTCCTAGGGATATAAACATGACTGTCATGTGGCCTCTTTCCTTCCAGAGCTCATAATTTAGGAAGGGAGACAGGTGAGTAAATAACTAACTACAATCCTGCTTGATAAATGCCACGTTGGAGGTTTTGCGCGAAGTGCCGTGAGAGCACCAGGAGTGATGGATTTAAGGGAAGAGGGGGTGGGGACGGGAATCGGGAAAGACTAAACAGCAGAAGTGACATTTGAGTTGAGCCTTGGGGGATGAATAGAATTTTGCCAGATGGACAAAGGGGTGTGGGGGTGGGGACCCTCCAGACTCATGCAAAAACACGAGAGTGTGAAAGTTTGTGCCTTTGTCTGAGACGTGGTAAGAGGCTTAAGGCTGAAGGAAGAGTAGGGTTATGGAAGGGGGTGTCGGGAGATGACGTTGCAGAGATCACTGGGGCCATGTTGTAAAGCTTAAGTTTGACCTGTAGCTTCTAGGGAGTCGTGACGGTTTTAAAATAGGGGAAGATCTCTGTTCCAGAAAGATCGTTCTGGCAATAGAGTGTAAGGTGATTTGAATTGGGGTGACTGGGAACACGGAGACGGGTCGGAGGCTATGAGCATCTTCTACATGAGAGATGGTGAAATGGGGCATGGACTTGAGAACCAGCTCCAAGGGAGGTCTTGGGAATTGATGAGATGTGGCCGGGGGGGGGGGGGGGGGGGGGGGTTGGATGACTTGAGAATACAGTGATGTCGCTAGAGAGGATAGGAGAAGAAACAGCTTATGAGGTGAAAGTAGTGAATTTGATTTGGGGTGTGTTAGATTTGGGGTGTGTTGAATTTGGAGTGGAGTTCCCAGCTGGAGAGTCCTAACGGAAAATCCATAAATGTAGATAGAAGAGCCTGTAGGGAGATGGTGTGGGTAGAGAAATTTGAAAGTGATTTTTTCAATCAGGATGAGGGGTGGGAGGACCTGCCTCGCCTGGATTGTGATATGTGGGGTTTCTTTTTAACTATTTGTATGCCATTCCTCCCCCACCGTCAGATCTCTGATAGTGCCCTGCCAGGGCGGGAGCCCCCAGGTAAGAATCCACCACCATGGTGACTCAAGAGAATATGGCCTGTTTCATTCATATTGGGGCATAAAAATGGTCTTAGCACTGCTAGCATCTGTCCTTACAGCCTGAAACCGCAGATAAAATTGCCCAGGGAGAGACAGTATAGCAAGAAGAGAAGATCTAACTAGAATCCCTGAGGCACACTTCTATTTAAAGGGCAGATGGAAGAAGAGGTACCTGCAGGTTACAGAGAAGGCCCTGCCCCTGGGAGAGAGTGGCATGGAAGGAGCTGAGGGAGGAGGGGTTTCCTGGATACTGGAAGAAGGTCAGCAGTGGCCAGTGAGGCCTGGAGGACGGGGGAAGTGAGAACTGGCACGAGGTTTTGGCAGTAAGGAGGTTATGGTTGAGAAAAGTCTCAGAGTGATGGGGTAGAAGTTGCATCACGGGGGCTGAAGAGTGAACCCCAAGGGTCAAGAAGTAGAGCTGGTGAGCACGATCCATTCTGTTTTTCTTAATATTTGGCTGCTTTGCGTGTTTGTTGCTGCTCACGGGCTCTCTCTAGTTGTGGCGAGCGGGGGCTACTTTTCGTTGCGGTGCGCGGGCTTCTCATTGCGGTGGCTTCTCTTGTTGCGGAGCATGGGCTCTAGGCACGCGGGCTTCAGTAGTTGTGGCTCGCGGGCTCTAGAGCACAGGCTCAGTAGTTGCGGCGCACAGGCTTAGTTAGTTGCTCCGTGGCATGTGGGATCCTCCCGGACCAGGGCTCGAATCCATGTCCCCTGCATTGGCAGGTGGATTCTTAACCACTGCGCCACTAGGGAAGCCCCCCCATTACCATAATTTTAAAAATCCTATGAGTCATACTATAGAGTGAGTGGCTGTTCCCATCTGGGTAGAAATGGTCAGATATGGTTTCATCCACAAGATGCTCCTCACAGTTTGGACAGAATGTGGGCAGGTGGAGGCAGAAGGGGAGATACCTGGAGTGAGAAGGATCCTGTAAACATGGGACTGAGGCCAGAAGTGTGTGTTCTGTGTTCCTTAGCCAGCAAGGAGCCCAATATGTCTGGTGCAGAAGGAGCCTATGGGTTATGAGAGGGAGTCAAGATTAGGATGGATAATTCAGAATTTGTGTTATAAATGCTACGCTATATTCATAGACTTGGTTTTGAAACCCTGCATGTGTTTCTATCTGAGCAGCCAAATACGAAATAAGAAAGTAAGTGGTCATTTTTAATGCTATAACCTGTAGGGGCAACATTATATCTTCTCAAGAAATAATATTTGTGCCTTTGGTGCCACCTGTGAGACAGACTTTGTCCTAATAGAAAGGCCACTTCCGTTTGGCCTTGTGTTTTGAAATTTAAGACCTTCATTTATGGTTACTGACTCAGATGTCTCCTGGAGGATTAGTAAAACTGTTATGCGCTGCCACAGTCTCCTTGACAGGCTGTAATTCTCCTGGGGACCAGGCTTGGGCCTTATTAATCTGCGTATCTCTTCCAGCACTGAACACAGTTGCTGGCATAAACTAAGCATGCAATAACTTGCAGTTGAATTGAATTTTCAAAGCAGGCGAGGCTAGCCCCCTCGGCACTCGTGGGAGTGATTTGCAGCAGAGCTATATTTTTCGAGTTGTGTAACGCCTGTAATCTTGTTCTCAGGTCCAGCCTGATGACTGGAGGGGCCAAGCGAGGAGTACCCAACCCGTGGCTCTTCGAGGAGCCGGAGGAGACCAGAGGCTTGGGTTTTGATGAAATCCGGGAACAGCAGCAGAAAATTATCCAAGGTACTAAATACCCCAAGAGTGTGGGCTCAGAAACATTGTCAGATTTGTTACCATAGCCTTGGGGATATCCCTTATACCCACTGAAAATCGGAGGTAAAACTGTTGGTCTTGCAGAGCTCTTGGTGCTTTTGTGCCTCAGGGTACCTGAAGATTAGACAAACGCTGTTGTCCATCCAGGTAGCTCATGGAAGTAGGGATTCTCTCCTGGGAGAGGGACAGAGCAGTTCTGTGTCTGATCAGTCCAGGTGACTCTGAGGCATGTGCCCCCTCCCTGTTCTCCACGATTGGGGATCATTCTCTAAAGAAAAAGACTCCATTTTTTTCATACATAAGCCCATTTGTTTTATTTTTTACTTTTTTACTTTTTATTGGAGTATAGTTGCTTTACAATGTTGTTTCTGCTGTACAAAGAAGTGATTTTGGCTTTTACCTTCAAGTTCATCTTGCCCAGTGGCTTTTAAAACTGCTAATTTCTTCTCTTTGTTAATTTCAGAAGTAACGCATGTTTGTTATACAAAGTTCAAACAATATAGGGATATATAAAATGAAAAGCTGTATCTATGGTTCCTCCGATCTCAAACTGTAAACAGATTAACAGCGTATTTCCTCAGGCTTTTTTTCTATACATACATACTGTATATTCATTGTAAACACACATATTTTCCATAAATGAGATCATGATATAATTCCACAGCTTTTTAAAAAATTTAATATGTGTGATAGACATTTTTCATGTAAGTGTTACAGATGTTCTACTTTTTTAAAAACAGCTTTGGAGGTGTGGTTGACATCGTAAATAGCACATATGTAAAGTGTATGCTTTAGTAAGTTTTGATACGTGTATACACCTGTGAAACCATCAGTACAATCCAAGTAATAAACATAATCATTACTCCCGACAGTTCTCTTCATGTCTGTCTGTAAATCTTACTGTTGTCCCTCCCACATCCCCAGATAGCTGCTGATCTGCTTTCTGTTGAGATAAATTAGGTTTTTTTTTTCCTGTATAAATGGAATCATACAGTATGTGCTCTTTTGTTGGGGGTGGGGTGGGGTCTGGCCTCCATCTCAGTGTAACTATTTTAAGGTCCATCCGTGTTGTTGCATGGATTAGTATTTCATTCTCTTACATTACAGAATAGTATTCCCTTGCATAGATTGACCACAGTCTGCACATCCATTCACCTGTTGATGCGTATTTTGTATTATACAAATAAAACTGCCATGAACATTCATGTGCAAGTCTCTGTATGGACATACATTTCGTGAATGACTGAGGCGTATGGTTAACTTCTTTTTAAACATCTTTATTGGAATATAAGTGCTTTACAATGGTGTGTTAGTTTCTGCTTTATAACAGAGTGAATCAGCTATACATATACATATATCCTCATTATGTTTAACTTTTCAAGACACTGCCAGACTCATTTCAAAAGTGGTTGTACAATTTTACATCGCCACCAGAAGAATTTGTGTCCCAGTTGCTTCAGATCCTCGCCAAAGAGTGTTATAGAAGGTCTTTTTAATTTGAGACATTCAAGTAGGTGTGTAGTTGCATTTCATCGTGGTTTTAATATGTATTTCCCCAATGACTGAATCTTTGCATGTGCTTATTTGTCATCAGCGTGTCTTCTTCGATGAAGTATGTGTTCAGATTGTTTATCTATTTTTAATTGGGTTGTTCATCTTTTGTTATTGAGTTTTAAGAATCTTATAAAACATATCCTTTTATATGTTTGTCAGATATTTATGTTTTAGAAATATTTTCTCCCCATCTGTGGCTTATATTTTTGGTTTTCTTAACAATGTCCTTTAAAGAGCAGAGGTTCTTAATTTTAATGAAGTCCAATTAGAAATCTTTGACTACCTAAAGCCACAAAGATTTACTGCCTTATTTTTCCTAGGAATTTTATAGTTTTAGGTTTTACAATAGGTGTATGGTCTACTTTGAATTGATTTTTTTTTTAATATAGCAAGATGAAATGCATTTCTTTTTTTTTAATTTGCATATTTATTTGTTCCAGCACCATTTGAAAGAAAAGAGCATCCTTTCTCTACTGAATTACTTTACTCTTCTTGGAAATCAATTGACCGTATATGGTGTGGGCCTATGTCTGGACTTTCCGTTCTGCTCCATTTGTCCATTTGTTTATCTTTACATCAGTGCCACACTGTCTCCATTATTGTATCTTTGCCACAAGTCTTTAAGTCAGGTAGTATAGGTCTTCCAACTTTGTTCTTTTTCAAAATGTGACTGGCTATTCCAGATCTTTTGCATTTCCATATGAATTTCAGAATCTGCTTTCAATTTCTACAAAAAAGCCTCGTGGGCTTTTGATTGGGATTACATTGCATCTTTAATTTGGGGAGAATTGACACCTTAACAATATTGAGTCTTCTGATCCATGAATATGGCATATCTCTCCATTTATCTAGTTCCTTAATTTTTCTCAGCAGTGCTTTGTATTTTTCACTGTACGTCTTACACATCTTTTATCAGATTTATCCCTAAGTAGTTCGTATTTTTTTGTTCTTATTAATGGCATTTATAAATTTCTACTTCTGATTGTGGCTAGTATAAAAATACAATTGATTTTTTGTATACTGACCTTGGATCACGCAGCCTTGCTAATAAACTCACTAATTTATTAACAGCTTTTGGGTAGAATCTATAGGACTTTCTATACAAATGGTCAGTGCCATCTGTGTTTAAAGACAGTTTTACTTTTTTAAAGACTTTTTTTAAGGGCAGTTTTAAGTACACAGCAAAATTTAGAGGAGGGTACAGAGTTCCCATATAACCCCTTTCCCCACACATGCATAGTCTTCCTCCATTATCAACCACCAGAATGGTATATTTTTTACGATGAATTAACCTACATTGATATCCTAATCACCCAAAGTCCATAGTTTATTTTAGGGTTCATTTTTGGTGTTGTGCATTCTATGGTTTGGACAAACATAAAATGACACATCCCTCATTACAATATCATACAGAGTATTTCCACTTCCCTAAAAACCTTCTGTGCCCTGCCTGTTTATCTCTCCCTCCTCCCTCAGCCCTTGTCAACCTGTGATCTTTTTACCATCTCCATTGTTTTGCCTTTTCCAGAATATCAGTAGTTAAAATAATACAGTATGTAGACTCCAGATTGGCTTCTTTCACTTAGTATGTGTTTAAGGCTCCTCCATGCCTTTTCAAGGCTTGATAGCTAACTTCTTTTTAGCACTGAATAATATTCCACTCTCCGCTTGGACCAAGTTTGTTTATCCATTCCCCTTCTGAAAGACATCTTGATTGTTTCCATATTTGGGCAATTATGAAAAAGCTGCTATAAACATCTGTGTGCAGGTTCTTGTGTACATGTAATTTACCAACTCTTTGGATAAATACCAAGGAGTGCAATTGCTAGATCACATGGTAAGAATGTTTAGTTTTGTAAGAAACCACCAAATTGTCTTCGAAAGTGACTGTACCACTTTGCATCCCCACCAGTGATGAATTGAGAGTTCCTATTGCTCTGCATCCTTGTCAGCATTTGATGTTGTCAGTTTCCAGGGTTTGGTCATTCTAATAGATGTGTAGTGGTATCTCTTGCTTTAATTTGCATTTCCCTCATGACTTATGATGTGGAGCATCTTTTCATATGCTTATTTGCCATCTGTATGTTTTTTTTTTGTTTTTTGTTTTTTTGCGGTACGCGGGCCTCTCACTGTTGTGGCCTCTCCCGTTGCGGAGCACAGGCTCTGGACGCGCAGGCTCAGCAGCCATGGCTCACAGGCCCAGCCGCTCCGCGGCATGTGGGATCTTCCCGGACCGGGGCACAGAACCCGTGTCCCCTGCATCGGCAGGCGGACTCTCAACCACTGCGCCACCAGGGAAGCCCTGTATTTGTCTTTGGTGAGGTATCTGTTAAGACCTTTGGTCCATTAAGAGTTCTTTGTATATTTTAGGTAACAGTCCTTTATTAGATGTTTCTTGCAAATATTTTCTCCCAGTCTATGATTTGTCTTCTCATTTCCTTGATAGTATCTTTCACAGAGCAGAAGATTTTAATTTTAATGGAGTCCAGCTTATCAATTATTTCTTTCATGGATTGTACCTTTGGTTTTGTATCTAAAAGTCATTGCCAGACATCTCGTTTCCTGTTCTGCCTGTAAGGACCTTGGAAGTCACCACTCCATGCTAACAATCGGTAATATAATCTGAACAGACTGAAAAAGTCACCAACTCTTCTTGGATCTGTAAGAGAGGAGGGCACAGGGCAAATCACTTCCTGCAAGATTGGAGAGAGAGGAGAATACAGGGAGTCACAGCTTACTGGAGCACAGACTTCTGAGCAGAAGCCAGTGTGGGAACCAGTTGGGTAGGAAAATCTGAACTGTCGTTGATGAGTGGCTGGAGGCTCAGTGTGGACAAATCTGAGAGTTAAAAACTCCAGGGGACCCAGTCATAGTGGGGTCCTCACAATTGTGTGAGATTCACCTCTAGGAGCTCTCCCAGGTCCTCACAGTAAATACCAGAGAAAAATCCCCTCCTGTTTCTGGTGGAGAGAGGAGAAAAGGAACCATTTTGGAATATGCTAGAGCACTCTGTTCTTAACAAGATTTCATCCTCAGGAGAAACTACTTAACCAGGACCTAACTTGCTAAATTATATCAGTCTAACTGACTTGGGGGAAAGGAAATGCCTAACTCTCTAGCCCACTAGCCATCCTGTCCCACCTAAGTGGCAAGGGGAGGAAAAAACTTTGAAACCCTTGTGACGTTCACAGCCCAGAGACATAGACTCACTAAAGACTGGGACCTAATGATAGGACTGTAGAACACTCGCTTAATGCCCACACTTTACCACCACCTTTTACTAAAAGTCTTTTTACAGCAGTACATTTTACCACATACATCCTGTCTAGTAAGAAAAAATTACAAGGCACACCAAAAGGCAAAAAACCATAATTTGAGGAGACAGAGCAAGCATCAGATCCAGACATACCAGGGAT